TGGAGCCAGAATGAGTTCAGAGGCGTCCTGGCCATGCACGCCTGCATCTTCCCAGCTTTGCTCACTTCTGGGGGTTTGTCTCACCTGCCAAGAGCATGTGGGAGCCACAGAGAATGTCTTCCATCCCGGCTCCCGGAGCGGGAGTACATGGGGCTGGCAGGTCAGGTCCTAGTGCACCCAGGATGGGCACATGCCCACAGTGGCACCTGCTTCCCAGCTCTTAGCTTCCTCCTCGAGAGGCTTAATTAGGGTCTGCGGCACTTCATCCCGTTTCCCATGTGCGTGGAGGGTGACCCATCAATGCCATTCACTCAGAGCAGAGCTTGGTCATGGGACTGAACAAATATCTGAACCGTATTGCTCCCCTGGTGGGACAGCAGGTTGGGAAATGTGCCAGAGGCCTCAGGAAGAATTAAGTCAGGAGGAAAATACAGCTCAGTTCTGATCTCTCAACTGTTACGCATTTGCTTGTCTCCGGTTTTATTCCCAAGATGACTTTGAGTGACTTTTGTGATGTAGGAAGAGGAAACAGCATGGGAATGAATGAGATGGCTCCATGGCATCCGGGAGTGCCCTGCCCAGTCCATTTACTCTAAGTGTCTGGAGGGGACCAGCTGTCTTTAGAATCAACTTCCGGTTTCTAGCAAAAGTTCTGATGGATCTTTGATTCAGGTTGTGTTCCATTTAGCAATAAATTTGAGGGAGATCTGATGTCTTTATAACATTTATTTTTATCTAGTGGGTGTGTGTGTAAAATAAAAAGTTAGACAAGAAGGCAGCACATGGTATAATTCCATTTAGATGAAGTCAGCACAAAATGTAAGTCTGTTGGAACAGAAAGGTGGCTCGGGCTTGCCAGGGGCTGGGGTGGGAATGGGGGTGAACTGTATTTGGGTGCCAGACACATCTTACAGTGCTGAGGGGAGGGTCCAGAACTGTGGGGCTGGGGCATCAAGCAGCTTGGTAAACTAAGAATCTTCGAGTTGTGTACTGCCAACCAGCCGATTGTATGACGCGTAAAGAAACCAGTGAAGCTCAGTGAAGCTAAGATATATATTTTATCTCAGCCCGGGAGGGAAGCTGTCCCCACAGACAGAGACCAGGACTGAGATTGGAGCCCTGTGGTCCATCTGGCTTGTTTATGCTCCTTGAAGGTCCCATGCAGGTTCAGTGTTAACTCTGTGTCACGAAGTCGCCAAGCAGGAGGGGAGTTTGGAGAACCACCTGGAGCCAGGCGAGGCCACGTAGAGTGTATGTGTCATCACAGTGTGTTTGATGAGTAAGCCCCACTCAACCCTTCTCCAATGTGTTAATGTCTGACCAACTAACTGTAAAAAGAAACTGAATGGACAAAGGAGAGACAAGACACCCCAAACCCCACACCCATCAGGGACCACTGCTCACACCTCAGTGCGCATCCTCCCAAACCTCTCCGAATTCCATTCACTCAAGGGATTTTGAATAAGAAGGGTTTTCTCTTTGATGTACTCATCTCCCTTGATGGGCATCTTCATTCATCCATAAACCTAGATTTCCATCTTCTTTCCTGACAATGGCTTAACATTCCATGTTATAGACAAATTATAACTTCTTTCTTTTTTAAAATTTACTGGTGTAGTTGATTTACAATATGTTCATTTCTACTGTCCAGCAAAGTGATTTAGTTATATATATATATATATATACACATTCTTTTTTCATGTTCTCCATTATGATTTATCACAGGATATTGAATATAGTTCCCTGTGCTATACAGTAGGACCTTGATATTAAAAAAATTTTTTTTTCTAATAACTAGCAGTTGTAAGGCATGATTGCTTTTTTAAAGATTTTATTTGTTTGTTTTTGGCTGTGCTGGCTCTTCGTTGCTGTGAGGGTTTTTCTCTAGTTGTGGAGAGTGGGGGCTATTCTCCAGTTGCGATGTACAGGTTCCTCGTTGCGGAGGCTTCTCCTGTTGCTGAGCACGGCTCTAGGGCACGGGGCTTCAGTAGTTGCAGATCCCGGGCTGTAGGGCACAAGCTCAGTAGTTGTGGCGCATGGGCTTAGTTGCTCTGAGGCATGTGGGATCTCTCCAAACCAGGGATCGAACCCGTGTCCCCTGCATTGGAAGGCAGCTTCTTTACTCCTGAGACACCAGGGAAGCCACAAGACCTTGTTATTTGAATTAGAATTTATTTCTTTAAGAATAATTTTATAGTTGGTTTAGCTGGTCTGTTGGTGGGCTTTTTCTGGAGGGTGTTCATTTTCTTTTATTGCTTTCCTTTTCTTTCTCTTTCTAAATTTTGCTATGTTCTGGGATGGATGTCCTTGTGCAAACTTTCTTCATCCCTGGTTGGTTGTTGTTTGGGGTAAATTCCTGGAAGTAAGTTTGCCTTGCCTTTGACTTTAAGTTGGGGTGTTCTCATTTTTGTTTTAACCTTCAGCCACAAAGAAACGCACCATTTTCCATCCCAGGATGTGTCTCACCACCCTCTCAAGTGCAGTTTTATGTCCTGGCCAAGCCAACAAGCCAGGACCATTTTAGTTGCTGTGTCCAGGCCGCCTTTTCATGAGCTCAGCTGTTTCTCTAAGGTGAATGGCCTGGATGCGTCCTTTCTGTTAGAGTTTCTGTCCTGTGCTGTGTTTAGTCACTAAGTTGTGTCTAGCTTTTTGTGACCCCATGGACTGCAGCCCACCAGGCTTCTCATGGGGATTCTCCAGGCAAGAATACTGGAGTGGCTTGCTATGCCCTCCTCCAGGGGATCTTCTCAACCCAGGAATCAAACCCAGGTCTCTCATTGCAGGAGGATTCTTTACCAACTGAGCCACCAGGGAAACCCTGGTGATGTTTAAATTCTCCCTATTTCTCTGTCTGGACACAATCCACTACAAGTGTTTTTCGGAGCATGTTTCCACACTTTGCTCACAGTGCATTTTGTCATCAGGGATCTGAAACTTTCAAAGACCTGTCTTCTTTATTTTTTGTTGTCTTCTAACACATTAAGATTATAAAAACACAATCCACCTGCATTTTGTTTTGGATGGCATATTCTGCACTTCAGTCCTTGAGCCTTTTAAAATTCAGCTGTGCTAGGAGTTCTCACCTATGGGGGGTGGTGATTCTGACTGCTGGCTCCCCTCTCAGGGGACACAGATCCCTGTTGGGGGACATCTGAGGTTGTCACACTGGGGGGATGCTCCTGGCAATGAGGAGGTGGGGCCAGGAAGGTTGCTCCACACACCACAGTGCCCACAATGGCCAAGGGTGACCAGCTGCCAGGTCATCAGTGCCCGGTGGACACTGCTGGGAGAGACAGAAAATACTCCTGAGCTGGTACATGTGGCTAGCCTTGCAGTGGTTCTCTGTTCCAAGGGATCCTGCTCTCCTACAAGTGGGGGGAATCAAGGTTTTTCCTGATTGCTTGTTAGTTTCATAGTCACTAGGAGCACTTCCTGTTTGCCAGTCCCCTCACATCTGAGGTCCCTACAGTACAGGGGGTACAGACAGTGGACTCTCCCATTTCTGAGCTTGTCCAGGGAGATGGAGTGTCGCCGAGCAAGGGCCACACTGTCCATCCTGGTGACAGCACCTTGATCCACTGTGCTGAATGTCTGCAGACGCCAGGGCTAAAAGTGGGACCTGGAGTCTGGGTGGGGCTCCAGAGGAGGGGTCTGGGGCTGGGGCAATCCCCAGAGTGCTGGGATTCCCAGTGGTGGCCACTAGGGGGCAGTGAAGGTCCATGAGGTCTCCAGCGCAACTAGCAGGGATAGATGTGAAGAGGGTGCAGGGGTCCAAGTGAGTACCCAGCTTCTTCAGTCAACCCCTCGGCCCTCGTGGAGCCCTGTGACCCCTGTCTACATGTTCCAGGACATTCTGGTTCAGCACCCAGAGTCTACCGTCACTCTTTCCTAGGGGCTTCCACTTCACAGACCTGGAGCCTCTGTGAGTTCATTGGATGTAAGAGGAAGGTAGAAAGCACAGACTCTGACCTTGGAGCGCTCAGGATCCCTGCACCCCCCAACTTTCCTGGTCCTGGCGCACCTCAATGGCTGGAGCAGAGTTGGTACCAGAGAACGAAGGCCAGAGGGTGGGGGTGAGCATCCCTGCTGGGACAACTGGATATTGCTTCTGGGACTGCCGCCTCTGTCGCCTGGAAGCAGCCGGTGGCTCTGATACCCAGGCAGGAGCAAGGTTGGGGGGGAGTTCTCCCCAGGCCGGTCTCTCGAAGCACCTCCTTTGGAACTCACCTAAACGCCAGAGACCCTCAAAGACCCCTCGGGTCTCCTGGCTGTGGAATCTGCCCAGTGTCTCCCGAGGCACCCTCAGGTGTGTGTCACCTGGGCAGTGACTGCTCGGCCTGGCCAGATGCGGTGACCCTCTCCAAAATGTTCTCCATCCCCTCGGCAAGGGTTTCCAAGTGTCTGCCAGGCCAGGCTCCAGGGGATGCCAGTGTGCAGGGTGGGTGTTCTAGTGAGAATTGTGGACCCATTCGGAGTCTTCCCCCTCCAACACTGCTGACATCGGGCCGGGTCACCCTGTGGGGTGCAGTGGGCATCCTGGGCACTGTGGGGGAGGGTGGAGCAGCCTCCAGGCCCCCATCCCCATGACGCCAGGAGCCCTCAGTTTTGACAACTGACCCCACACAGATGTTCCCAGACATCACCCAGTGTCCCATGGAGGCAGGCCCCCTGCCTCACCAGTTCCTCTCATAGTATCTCTGGATGTGGGTGCCCCCTCCTGAAACCAGATGGATTTTCCCATAAGTTTGGAAGCTCTAGCAGAGGGGCGGTGGGGGGTGGGGGGGAAAGGGTGGGGGGCTGGGACCATAGCCAGTTGGCTCCCGCCCGTGGAAGGGCTGAGCGCATGGGCCTTCATGGCACTGGCTTTCCTTATGGAGGTGCCACTGCCCTTTTAGCCAGAGTTGGGCTTTCCAATAGGGTAGCCACGCGTCCCCAGCGGCCACTGAGCTCCTGAAAGGGAGCTCAGATGGAAATGAGTGTATTTTGCACAGGCCGGGTGATGATTCTTAGCTGAGAACGATTTTTCCAGCTTTTCACCAGCCCTCCCTCCTGAGGCAGAGCTCAGTGACCTCCCAGCAGCCGGTGTTTTCCTGATAGCCCCTGTTCTCTGGGAGTTTGTGAACATTTCAGCTGAAAGCGCCTCCCGGATCTTTTATCTCGAGAGGGTGGCCCTCGTGTGAGGGACAAACTCCAACCCGGCGTGCCACGTCAGAGACTGTTTCTTTCTCCTGGTTGGTCCCCTGCTTCAGATGTGTGTTGAAATGCCCACAATTATCAGTTCTCTCCGCGGACAAGCTGTTCTCCTGAAAGAGCTGCCAAGATAGACAGTTGAAACCTTAAAACGTTCTTGCAGAAGGTCATGGCTGCTGCCGCAGCCTTACGATACATAAGTAATTACTGGGTCCCCGCCCAGAAACCCACCAAGGGCGCCCCCCCCCCCGACAGCACACAGGACCCAGAGCCACCCCCACCCCAGTAGCCCATGGCTTTGATTCTGGAATCTTGGGGAGAGCAGGCCCCAGGGTGCTTCCCATGGCAGCAGGGGGCTGCTCAGACGTGACATCGACCCCCTCCAGAAGGGTCTCACCCTTGTGATCCTGCCCCCAAGGAACACTGGGCAATGTCTGGGGATGTCTGTGGTTGTCATGACTGGAGGGGGTCCTGGCATACAGTGGGTGGGGGGCCTAGGGGTGTGCTCCACCCCCCACAGTGCTCAGGATGACCCCACAATGTCCCAGCCCGTGTCAGCAGCGCCCAGCTGGAGTGGGGAGTGGGGAGTGGGGATCCCACTCCCCAAGATTCTTGCTCCCAGGATGAACCAGCATCACTCTTTTTGTGCTCCATGTATTTTATCACACTGGCTCCCACCCCGGCCCCATTCTTCCACATGCTGTGGGCGAATCCCCTCACACACTGGTTAGTGCTGCCACCTAATTGGACCAACTTGAACACCCAGGCCCAGAAAGGCTCCCATCTGATACCGCAGAGCCAGGCTTCCACCTGTGGGGCAGTGAGAACTGTCCCAGCCCAGGCAGCAGCCAAGGTCTGGAGACCCATGCATCCCCAGGCGGGCATGTTGCTAGGCAACGGCGTGACTGGTCAGCCTCCCTCAGAGCAGGGATGATGCACACACGGTCATCAATAGTCAGATTCAAGGCCTCCTTTGACTCAGAACACACATGGGATGACAGTCACGTATGGTAATGTGGGGGCAGGGGTATAGGGAGCCATGGGGAAGCTGAAGAGGGGCTCATTTGTGGTGGGTAGAAGGAGCCCCTACAACTCAGGGCCCATTCCCACCCCCTGCCACAGTGCACAGACCTGAATTCACCTGAGCTGGTGCACACTGAGGATGTGGTTCTTCCTTTTGTTCCCTCCTCTCTAACTTTGTATGTTGAGTCAGCAGACACCTGTGTGCCAGGCCCAGCTGGCTAAAGCATGTGTGTCTGGCTGCAGAAGCTCCCAGTACAGTGTACACGGTGGGCATGTGTAACGGAGGACTGAGGCATGACCTGGGGAGGGCCAGGCTGGGATGAGCTCAGAAGTTGAGGGCAGGGGGAGGGCTCTGGGGGGCTGAGGGTGGGGTGGTGGCTTCAACAGGCATCCCAAATTCAGGGACCTGGGATATCAGGAGCTTGTTTCTAATTCCCACTGGTATTCCCCCAAATTCAAATGTTAAAACCTACTTACTCCCGAGTGTGGTGGGAATTGAAGGTGGAGCCTTTGGGGAATATGGTCTTGGGACTTATATTAATATTAAATACATATTTTGAACTTTAGCCATGGTTACTATCTCCCAGATCCCAAAGCTCTTAGAATTTCTTGAGCCAGTGGAGCATCCCCTGCATGTAACTAAATTTGACAGTGATTGTGAAACCCCAGGCTCACTGCTCTGCCATCACATGAGGAGTGTGCTGGCTAGCTAGTGCTATGTCATAAGCGACCACAGACTCGGCACCTTATACCTCCCCTGTCTCTCCAGGCAGAAGTGTGGCTGAGGCCTCTGCTCACAGTCTTACTGGGCCTGGCCCAGACTGAGTTCTCTCCTGAGGCTCAGCTGGGGAAGAATCCATTTCCCAGTGTGCTCAGGCCATTGGTAGGGTTTGGTTCCTTTCAGTTGTCAGGCCCAGGTCTTAGCAGCCCACTAGGGACGGCTCTCAGCTCTTGGAGGCTGCCACCAGGTCCTACCCTGGCTGCATGATCTCCTCCAGGGGGCCCCTCATCCCTCCAGTCACTGCAGAAGGGCCCTGCCCTAGGGAGGGAGGACTCACCTGATTGGGTCAGGCCCACCCATGCATCCTTTTGATTAACTCAAAAGTCAACTAACTTGGGAATTTATTTAATTTGATTTTGTCTCTTCCTTTTTTTGTTTTTTAAATTATGAAGTTGTGATAACACATTTATAGGAGACTTTGAGAATATAGAACAAGGTTACATATAAGTTCCACTGTATATGATAATTATTTTTTAAGTAGATAAATTTTTAGTTGGAGTTTCAATATCAAACTCTCAAAAAGGAATAGAATGAATATACAGAGAAGTAGAAGGATACAGTAGACCTCGAAAGCACAATGAACCAATTCAACATAATTAAGATTCATACAATTTTCACAACTGTAGGATACAAATTCTATTCAAGGTCCCAGAGATTATAAACTAAGAGACACTGGAACATATCTGGGGAAATAAAACAAGGTGCAAAAATTTCATGATCTAAAGGTATTGAAATGATACAGAGCCTATTCTCTTATCACTGTGGAATTATATTAGAGATCAGTATCAAAAGATATTTGAAAATAACCCCCATATTTTCAAGTGTAATGTAATGTTACCCAGAGCGATCTTTGACTTAGCCATTGAAAGCCTCCTTAAAGTTAGAAGACTGAAAAACCACAGAGGATGATTACAGAGAAGAAAGCATTTAAATGAGAAATTAATATCAAAATGAGAAATTAATATCAAAGATACTTATATTTATTTATTGGTTGCACCACACTGCAGGTGGGATCTTAGTCCCCTGACCAGAGATTGAACCCACACCCCATGCAGATTCTAATCACTGGACCACAAGGGTGGTCTCTAACTTGGGACTTTAATTACACCCTCGAATTCCTTCCTCTGCAGGAAATCACCTAATCAGGGGAATGGCATCTTATCACCTTCATAGTCCTGCCAACCCCTGGGGCTTGGTCCACCAGGAGCCAAGGGTTTGGAGACTTAGACTCCTTCTGGCCACCAAGGGGCAGCAGGGGGCCTGGTCACTGCAGATGCAGGCAACTGCAGCTGGCACCAGGGCTCGCAGGGGGCCTTTGTACCCTCCTGCTCCTTGCTGGCGGCACCGCAGGCAGGTCAGTGTTGGGTGGAATGGCAGTGGTTGGAGAAGGCATGCCTTGTTTGTCTCAGTCACACCTAGACATACCTAAGGTTTCATTTGGTTTTGTTTTTTGTTTTTTTCTGCTGCACCACTTGGCTTGTAGGGTCTTGGTTCCCCAACCAGCAATCAAATCTGAACCCCTTGCAGTAGAAGCTTGTCATCCTAACCACTGAACCACCAGGAAAGTCCCCTCACTGTTTTTTTTTTTTTTTAAGAAAGGCTATAATTTGAAATAGTTCCAGATTCATGCATGCATGCTCAGTCATGTCTAACTATTTGCCACCCAAAGGACGGTAGCCTGCCAGGCTCCTCTGTCCATGGGGTTCTCCAGGCAAGAATACTGGAGTGGGTTGCCAATTCCTTCTCCAGGGGATCTTCCCAACCCAGGGATTGAACTGGCATCTCCTGTGTCTCCTGCATTGGCAGGTGGATTCTTTACCACTGAACCAGCTGGGAAGCCCAATTCCAGGTTGATAGGAAGTTGGAAAAACCATGCAGAGTGATCGCATGCACCCTTTCCCCAACTCCCCCCCGTGGCCTCATCTTGTAACTAAAGTACAATAGGAAGTTGTTGTGTGTGCAGGCCCCTGCCCTCTGTTAAATCTGTGGGCATGGAGGACCGTCACCCATTTGCAGAATGGAGAGTTCTTCCATCCTTGCGGGGGGGGGGGGGCGCGGAGAAAAATGGACATGAACATCTAACCGTGGATGGCATTGTGTCCCAGGCTCGCGGTGCAGGCCTAGCTCCGTGCATCTTGTCTGCTACCTCGTCAGGCAGCCAGCCCTGCAGGTGGGTTTATTCTCTTGGGGGGATTCTGCCAGTTTGTGGGGGCTCCCAGCACCAAAGACTCAGGTTCAAATCCAGACACACCCCCACCTGCAGGGCACCCCAGGAGAGGATGCTGCTGAGACATCCCCATGTTGGAGTCAAAGCCTCCTCAACTTCCCCAGAGGTCTCTGCTGTCTTCTCTGTGCCCCGCATGGTCGGTCGGTGTTCTGGGGGTGGGGCGGGGGGGCATTGTGTGCGTCTTACTCCCAGGAGCCTGTTCAGTAGCAGCACCCCTCACGTCTGAGGGAGGGGGAATTCCAAGATGGTGCTCTAGATCCCCACCCCCTTGTGTCCATACTCTGGGTGGGTTCCCACTCCACAGTTAGGCTCACATGATGTGGCCAAAGAGAGTTTGCGGATATAACAGAGACCCCTGATCAGTGGTGGGTGGCCTGACCTAATCAGATGAACCCTTACAAGAGACCAGAGACGTATTTAGAGGAGTCAGATCCACAGACAGGAAGTAGATGGTGGGGCCAGGGGCTGGAGGAAGGGGCGGGGAGTTAGTGTTTCATGGGGACAGAGTTTCTGTTTGGGAAGATGAGAAAGTTCTGGATGGTGGTCCAGACAGTCACGCAACAATGTGAATGTGCTTAAGGCCACGGAGCTGTGCACTTAGAAATGGTTAAAATGGTAAATTGCTTTTTACCACAATAAACAGAGAGGGAGAGAGAGATCAGAGCAGCAGCAGACACTCCTGCTGACTTTGAAAAAGGCAAACAGCCTCGTTGTGTGTGTGCTGCCCGGGGAGAAGGCCACGCAGCTGGGAGCTGAGAGCACCCCCCACCCGACAGCCAGCGGGAAAACAGCACCTCAGTCCCTACACTGCAGAGCAGGGCATTCCACCAACCCCCTGTCGAGCTTGGAAGGGGGCCCTGCATCCCAGATAAGGACTCAGCCCAGCCAGTCCCTGGGTGTTGGGCTTTTGAGACTCCAAGCTGAGGGCCCAGTGAAACCACATCCCCATTTTCTGACAGAGTGACCGGGAGACAACAAAGGGTGTTGTTTTGGAGCCTGTGTTGGTGCGACTTGTCACGCAGCAGCAGCTGACTGATGCACCTACCGTGCTGCCTTCCCACACGCTTGTTCTGGAACTCGCCGCAGTCCTGCCACTTAGAGACGGCTATCTCCACGTCACAGAGGAGAAACTGGGAGTACAGAGAAGCTGAGTAATCTGCCCAGGGCCCCTCAGTAACTGCTCTGTGACGATCAGATCAGCTGCGTGTGGCACCCAGGCTGGACCTTAGGCTCCTCCAGGTCAGGGATCTTGCCCAACTGCCCAGCCAGATGTTTAGGGAGTGAGTGGAAGAAGGGAAGAAGGAGGCCGGGGGAGGAATCCTCACCTGAGCTCCTGCGCAGAGAGGTGAGCCTGTGAGCAGGGTGGGTGACACGGCAGAGAGCGTACTCAGCCTACCCGGAGCGATCCCGAGCGGTGATCCCTGCGGGCTCCCGGCTGAGTCAGCGGCCGCACCGAGGTCTGAGCTCCTGAGCCTCCTGGACTGGGACGTGCTGTCCCCAGCTATCTGACTAACATCCCGCTGAGTCACAGTTCTGGCCAGATGAGAGGCAAGAGGCGAGCCAGAGCCCTCTGCCCACGGGAGTCACAAAGCCAGGCACCCCGGAGGCCCAGAGAACCGGGCTGCAAGCTCTGGGTTCCTCGGTGCAAGCCGGGGCTGCAGGCTGAGGATGGGTTTGCAGAGTAG